GTCTTTTTTAAGAAGCCCAGGAAAGATTAATGGAGAACAATAGAGTACAAGAGGTAAAATACAGGAGTTTGAAAATTGCAGAACTAAAGGTTGGTTGATACCTTGTTGTCTTAACTTTTTAATGTAGAAGGTAAGATGAAACATTTTCTTAGAGATCAATAAAATGTGGGATGACCATGAAAGGTCAGAGGAAAGAACTAATCCAAGGTATTTATTACTTGACTTGGTTTCAATTTCCGTGCCAACTATGCTACAGGCATCATGGGAACTAACTAATTCATGTATGTCACGTCGATGCTTGAAAGTAAAGTTAACTGCCTGACATTTGGGAGGATTTAACATAAGACCATTCGACTTAGAACACTCGCTGATGTTCAACAGAGAGCTATTAAGTTTGGAGCAGTCAGACTCGGAAGTGATAGGCAGTGAGCAAATTCTACTCTTGCTCTCTTTCTTTATACACCCGTGTGTTATTGGAAGCAGAAGTGAAGCTGCAGTGCACAGTATACTCATGTCATATGAAATGAAGGAGTGACTTGAACTCTTTCAAAAAATATCAGGCTATATGAAAGTGGATCGTCATGTTAAACGATTCCTGCACACTCAGGCAATACAATGAAGCAGCATGTGCAGTAAACTACTACACCAACTGTGTGTGTTTGGAATGAATCACGTTGACGACTGTCTGAACTTAAATGACACTGCTTCCCTTGACAAATGCTTTCTGCAACCCTTATAATGATATTGTCACTGCAGAACACAAAAGAATTTGGTAAGGGAACTATTTATTGACGACTAGGTGTACAGATATTGGCGAAATACGCCCTATGGTGTATTGAAGTCACAATTTGCTTGTATCTTATGTATTCCGATTCTTTATCTGCATTCACCTGTTTTCCATGCTGTCTCACAAGAATGGTTCATTTCAAAATTCTCCTCCCGATTAGATCTGTCTCTCTAATGTCCGATGTTCTTGCAGGTGATACACACGTCACAATTTCATATTTTGCCATGAACTTCACTACTGGTTAACACTGACTTCACTTGAGTTCATCACAAATGAATAAGATGATTATATTTTCATCACTTTATGCCTAACAAGTCATTCCAATTTCACTCATGGTGCGATGAAAATATCTAGTTCTCATCTACAAACTTGGCTATGAATGCCACGTGTAAAGTATTTCACAGCTAACGGAATTGCACCAGGTTTAAAAGAGACAAGCTTGTCAATGTAGAATGTCCTAGACAGGTTGACGATCACTCAAGAATGTGATCACTGTCGCAGCAATATTGATGAACAACTGATGAACAACGCAATGATACACACAGCTTGAGGCAGACAGCTTGATGGTTTGTGTAGTGCGAACTGTTCTCTTCCAGTGATTATTATTGTTCCCTTGGGTTCCTAGTGGAACATAAGGCTTCAACTGCACGTCTCCACTTGCTTCTGTCTTCTGCTGTACTTTTCACTTGCGTCCATGTTATTCCATACTGTTTCATCTCCTCCTCACACGATCTCCTCCATGTCACCCTTGGACGTCCAACTCGCCGCTTCCCTTTCGGGTTCCACTCGATGGCCTGACGCGCGATGTCACTCAACGGCCTCCTCAGCGAGTGTCCAATCCATCTCCACTTCCTCCTGCATATTTGTTGGGCGATTGGTTCCTGTTTCGTTTGTTCCCATAGCTTCTTGTTGGTGATTCTTTCCGGCCATCTAATCTTCAGTATGGAGCGAAGACAGTTGTTGATAAAGGTCTGCAACAGGCTGTTGAAAATATTCTTGGTGATCCGCCAAGTTTCTGATCCGTAAAGCAGAATTGACTTCACGTTTGTATTGAAAATCCGAATTTTGTTGTTGATGGTGAGTGACAAAGATTTCCAGATTGGTGGTTTCAGGTTGATGAATGTGTTTCTCGCCTTCCCGATTCTCGATTTGACATCCTCGTCCGTTCCTCCTGTAGTTGAGACAATGCTCCCTAGATAAGTGAATGAAGTAACCTCTTTCAAATCCCTCCCGTTGATGGTGATTGGCACTGGATGTTGCTGCTGTTGTTGTTGGTTGGTTATTTTCATAACCTCCGTCTTGTCTATGTTCACTTGCAGTCCTGTCTTTGCTGCTTCTTCGACCAGTTTGTCGGTTTTCGCTTGTAAGTCTTCGATTTTGTGTGTCATCAAACAAAGATCATCCACGCGTGAAATCCAGGTCTTCTAGGTTCTTCACGTCGGTCCATGATATCCCTGTCTTCTCGTTTCCCACTGTCTGACGCATAATCCAGTCCACCACAATTGGGAATATCATTGGTGAAAATAGGCTAGCACCCTTGTCTGACTCCTGTGTTTACTCCAAACGCTTCGCTGAGTTTTCCGTTGTGGATCACTTGATATGTGCCGTTGTCGTACAGTTGTTGAATAAGGTTGATGAATATTTGGGGTACGCCGTAGTACTCGAGTGGTTTCCAAATTACTTCGCAGTCAACGCTGTCTAAGGCCTTCTCAAAGTCTATAAAGTTGAGGTAGAGGTCTGATTGCCATTCCATGCTTTGTTGGATGATTATGCGTAGAGTTGCAATTTGGTCAGAACATGATTTTCGTTTCCTGAATCCAGCTTGTTCTGGTCGGAGTTCTGTATCCAGTGCATCCTTTATTCTCTCCAGGATGATGCGACTTAGAATTTTACTTGGCGTCGACAGGAGCATGATTCCTCGCCCTTTCTTGCAGAGTCCTAGGTCGCCCTTCTTTGGTAGTTTCACCAGGTAGCCTTTCCTCCAGTCAGTAGGCACCTTTCCCTCCTTCCAGATCTTTTGCAATAATGGAGTCAGCATATCTGCTGTCGTTTCTGGGTCCGCTTTTAGTGCTTCAGGGGGTATTCTATCTGGTCCAGCTGCTTTTCCAGCTTTCACAAGCTTTATCGCATTCAAGACCACAGCTTAAGTTGGAGGATTGGTGTCAACTTGCATTTGTGTACGTGCTGTTGTTGGTATTTCTGGACGGGTTGTAGGCGGTGGTCGGTTCTAGAGTCCTTTGAAGTGATCCACCCATTGTTTAATCTGTCTTTCTTCTTTGGTAATTGGGTTCCCTTGGCTGTCTTTTATAGGTTTCATTTGTGTTGATCTCTTCCCGGATAGAGACTTGGTTATCTGATATAGTGTCCTCAGGTCCCTTTTGTCTGCTGCCTTCTCAGCTTCAGTAGCCAGGTTGTCGTAGAATTGTCTTTTGTCCTTCCTGGCACTCTTCTTCACTTCTTTGTCCAGTGCTGTGTAAGTTGAGTTCAGCGTCTCTTTCTCTTGTCCATCTTTGCATTGAATCATTTTCTCTTTCACCATTCTCCTCTCCTCTGTTAGCTTCCAAGTGTCCGTTCAGAGCCATTCCTTGTCTTGTTTCTTCTTTCTTCCTAAAACCGTTGAGCACGTTTCGTTGAAAATTACCTTCAGAGAGTTCCAATGGTCTTCCACGGAAGATTCCTCAGTGGTGCCACGTAGTGTTTCCTGCTTTGCTCTGACAGTTGCAGTGAAAGTGTCCTTTGTGGTTGTGTCTTTCAGTTTTTCCGTGTTGAACTTGCATTGTGGCCTATCCCCAGGTATCCTCGAGGCTTTCAGCTTCACCTTGAATGTCCCTTGTACTAGATAGTGGTCTGAACCCACATCTGCTCCTCTCCTCGATCTTGTGTCCAGTAGGCTCCGTCTCCACTTCCTTGAGATTGAAATGAAGTCTATCTGGTTTTTGGTGTGTCCATCTGGTGAAATCCATGTTGCCTTGTGTATATCCCTGTGTTTGAACACACTGCCACCAATCACCAAATCGTTGAAGGCGCAGAAGTCTGAGAAGAGTTCGCCATTTTCGTTCATTTCACCGAGGGCCTCACGACCCATGGTGAGTTCTCTTCCTGTATTGTCTCCTCCCAGTTTCGCATTCATGTCGCCCATCAGGATTTTGATATCGCTCTTTGGGACGTTGTCCATTACTGTTTGTAGTTGACTGTAGAAATCCTCCTTCTTCTCTTGTTCTGAGGCGTTTGTAGGCGCGTAGCACTGAATGATTGTAACCTTTTTTTCCTTTTGAGTTGAACCTGGCTGTCATTATCCTGGAGGAGATTGGTTCCCACTGCATGAGAGCTTTAGCCGCTGTTGGTGACATCATGATGGCTACTCCCTCGGTGTGCTCGTGATTGTCCTCTGGGTGACCGGAGTAGATTATTGTCTCTCCAGTTGATAGTTGGCTCCTTCCACATCCGTTCCATCTGCTCTCGCAGATTCCCAACACTTCTATTTTATACCTCCTCATTTCTTCGGCTACCTGAGCAGCCTTCCCAGCTTCGTACATTGTACGAGCATTCCATGTCCCCATCCTTATTTTCGCTTTCATCGAAAGAAGGCACATCGGCTGACTGGCTTCCCGAAGGCTTTCACCAGCCCGCGTCATTTCACTTCCCCGATTCCAGCGAAAAATAAGGTCACTATTTGTAATTTTAGAATTTTGAATATATTTGTGCGTTGAAGTTTTAGTAGCAATTTGGTTAAGTTTTGGGGGTGGAGTTGCTAGCACCACGCCCCAACCCTCCCTCTTTATCCGGGCTTGGGACCGGCTAGAATACTAGTGACCTAGTAAACTAGGCGAGGTTTCTTCCAGTGATGGTAGTGATAAAATCGTTCTTTTTGTTGAAGTGAGGTTGGTGAGTTATTTCATTTTCGATGGGTATTATGTGCATATTATGTCGGAATTTATAAGAACGTAAGCATTCCAATGTTTTCTATATTGTTTTCGCCTACGTCTTGTTATAGGTTATACTGTGGTCTGTGTGCTTGGCTACCGTCTTGCCGTCCTTCAAGATGATGTCTGTATTGCTGTCACTGGGTCCGACAGTTGTGATCACAATTCTGCTAATTGTACTGGCTTCACAACTGCCACCTTTGAATCTGAACGGAGTCATCTTCTTCGCTTCTGTATCAGCCATTTTCGCAGTATTGTCAATCATCACGAATGTTTGCAGTTACTTGATCATGAAAGGTGTTATTGCAATGATGAATGTAAGTCCTTTTGACTATAGTAGAAAAGATGTAAACATATTGAGATGAATTCCCAACATAACATAACAAATACGTTTCCTTTTGAAGTCAAGTTTCTTGACAATCTCATTAAATAGAATAGGAAATGGGATGTCGGTTGATTCATTATAAGATACACACATCAGCCGCCATCATTAGGTATATTCAACCTCCTTAAAAGATATCTACAAATAGCAACTGGTTTAATTTAATTAATTATTTATTTATTTAAACGCAGAAAAAACTTGGTACAATATGGCACTAAGGAAGATGCGCCACACAATAATAATAAAACAACATAGATTAAAAGTAAAAATATCAGTAGAAAACGGATAAAGAACTTCATCTGGAAGGAAAACAGTCATGTTTGACAATTCAAACAGTATTCGTTAACTATCATCAGGAAGGGAAGAAAGAAGGAAATTGCAAGACGTTCGCCATTGATTACGATTCTTGGCCATATCCGATAACTTTTCGAGCCGTCGATTCGAGCTATCTCGTGGACCCCAACCAGGGAGTCGTGACGCACCAACCGATGCTACTCTAGCACAAATATCCTTCATCCCACGAAGCCACGTCATGAACTGACCACTCCTCCACCTTTTCCACTCCGTCCCAGGGTTAGCGAACAGAGACCTGTTCGGAAGCCTCTGGGATGACATTCGCAGCATATGTCCAAGCCATTGGAGCCGTTGTTTCCAGATGACGACACTCAATGAATGGTGATATCCACTGTGTTCAAACACACGCCTCCGAACCTCAGAATTACTCACGTGATGATGCCATCGAACGCAAGCAATCATGCGGAGACAGCGATGATCAAACACGCAGAGTCGCCGCACATCCTCAGCTCGGAGGGGCCAGGCTTCACAGGCGTAAAGCAAGACAGCCCGCACCGAAGCATTGTATACCCGACCTTTGACAGCCAGGCTAACGTCGCGACGGCGCCAGAGGTGGCTCAAGTTGATGTATGCCACCCTAGCCTTCTTTATACGGTTGGAAATCTCATCCGTCACCCCTCCGCTAGCACTCACACAACTACCGAGATACACAAACTTATCAACAACTTCAAGCGGTTCACTTGCAAGAGTGAGTGCAGGTACAGGCTCCTGCCAATCTTGTAACAGTACTTTGCACTTAGACGGTGCAAAGCACATACCATACGTACAAACACATTTCAATTAACATATATGTGAAACGTAGGCACTGTGACAGTGTGCAACTGGATGCATCGAACAGTGAGACGTTATAATTACTCAGTGAGTGGTGTTTCTATTGCAATTTACTTCTCCTAACCATATCACAGTTATCATCTTGAACCAGAAACTGTGTTCGACGCGTCATTCAGTGATTAATACTGTTTCACTAGATGACAGACATGTCCAATAAATGAAGTATTATTGAATTGAATGTATTGGAACACTACAGTACAACTGACATGGAAATTCCATCGATTCCATATTTGAGCTGTCATCACTGTGTTGTCAGTTGGATAGAGTTATTTGATCAACGCTTAAGTGATTGATATTCATGTTGCAACTTTTTATACAGATTGATACATATTACTCATTAACAGTTTTGAAAGTAGTGATATTTCTGTGTGTAGTTCATTCAGCATATGTCATACATAATTAACTGTATAATTCGTAGTTCCCAATACGGTTACAAATCCCCCCTGAACATTTCAACACATGTTGGAGGATGTCTTGATAGTTTGTTTCCATTGTTGGTTGACATTGAAAATGTTCATCTTGAAATATATGCGTTCATGAGGTAATATGCATACAACAACAAACCTAACTGTGTCACTTCTCAAGTCATCTACTGTATTTCTGCATTTGTTTCAGACTCAGATAATCTGCATTCTAGAATTGATTGCCACTGGGTTATTCATAATCTTCGTAAGTTCATAATTTGATAAGTTTATAAAACATCCTTTTATACATTGAAATGACGCGTAGCCCTATGTGTAAGATGAATCCTTTGATTCATTAGGTGATCTGATTTCATATTGCGTTATTTGACAGTAGACTAACAATGCACAGGATGTCATAACTGCACACAGGACATCAAATGGCAGACGGAATTATGCTACATCCCTAGTTGTGATGGCAGTCACATCGGCTGCAGCCGAGACTATGTGGTTCATTACTCCTACTACTACTACTACTACTACTACTACTACTACTACTACTACTACTACTACTACTACGACTACTACTACTACTACTACTACTACGACTACTACTACTACTACTACTACTACTACTACTACTACTACTACTACTACTACGACTACTACTACTACTACTACTACTACGACTACTACTACTACTACTACTACTACTACGACTACTACTACTGTTATCATCAGCATTTACTGATTTTCGTGCATGGAATCAGAGTGCGTACGTGATACGTGATACTTTCATCACAATACATCGTCGGTTGCAGTTCACTGTCACTTCAATTTGCACTTGATTCCATGCTGTCTTACTGTATGCTGAGGACATCTGCCATATATTAAAGAAAACTGGCAAGGTAGACAGTGACATATTTATTTATTTACGAACAAGTATTCTTGAATAAATCGTAGATTCGCATTGCTCCTTTATGAAGTAACAATCAGATATATACCACAGAAGTGTGACACTGGAGTTTATTATAATTATTGTTTCCTTTAACTCCTAGAGGAGGCTTTAGCCGTGCGTCTCCACTGCGTTCAGTTCTCTGCTACAGTCTTCACCTGGCTCCAAGTCTGTCCACACGTTCTCATCTCCTCTGCAAATGACCTCCTCCAAGTCACCCTCGCACTGACGACCAACTCGCCGCTTTCCTTTCAGGTTCCACTCGAGTAATGGCTTGTCTAGTGATGTCACTTGATGGTTTCCTCAGAGTATGACCAATCAATCTCCATTTCTTCCTGCTTATTTGTTTCACAATCGGTTCCTGGTTGGTTCGCCCTCAGAGATCTCTGTTGCTGATCTTTTCTGGCCTGCCATCTGATCTTGAGTATTGAGCGAAGACAACTGTTAATGAAGGTCTGTGGCTTGTTTGAGATGCTTTTTATGACGGGCCAAGTCTAATCCGTATATTAAGTGGCACTGACTTCACATTGGAGTTGAAAATCTGGATCTCATTTTTCATGCTGAGGTGTGCTGTTGACCTCCACACAGACTTAAGAGTAGTTATAGCTTGTCTTGCTTTTCCGATTCTTGCTTTGATATCCTCGTCAGTTCCGTTCGCCTGTAGTTGAAACGATGCTTCCCAGGTAGGTAAAGGAGGTTGTTTCTTTCAGGTTCCTCCCATTTATGCTGATCGTTGTGTGTTGTTGTTGTTGCTGTTGGTGGTGTTGTCCAGGAATCTTCATCACCTCTGTTTTATCTATGTTCACCTGAAGTCCTAACTAGTTCGGTTGCTTCTTCCGCCAACTTGTTGCTTTTCGCTGCATATCTTCCAGTTTGTGAGAAATGAGACATATATCATCGGCAAAGTCCAGATCCTTCAAGTTTGGTTATCTTTCATCGCTATGAAAAATTAATAAATCAACAATTGAATTTCATGGGAAATATTTTATTTTATATTATTGAATTTTGATTATAGCTTGACTTCACACAGTATTTTTGGTGCAAGTATGGAACTTTCAGCATGTGATACCGGTAGCTCAAATTTCGCAGGCCGACATCTGACATCATGTGTGCGTCGGCAAGATATCGAACCGCGGACCTTGTGCTTGGTCAGCGAAACTCCTAACCGCTGTGTCATCGACCCATCCAGACCTTTCGATAGCAACAAACATATCAGTTGGGGGTACCCTTGAGGCGAATAAATTCTTTCAGCTGTACAATAGCAACCATATAGAATTCTATTTTTTTGCTACGTCTTTGTGTGCACAGCAGGCGAATGCCAGTTCATGTATGGGTATGTTTGTGAGTTGAGAATAATCGACGTTTGCCTGATAAGCTTCAGGAACTGATGTGGAAAATACACTGAGTCGAGACACTCCTCGTTGAAACTGATTCTGGATAATTCTCCGCTTTGCTGAGAGATATGCTCACGACTTGATTCAGTGTCATGATTAATCTCGCAGAGAGACGTCGTTTCAAGAATTTCATACATTATCCTGTAAATATATTCCTTCTTTCTTTGCTCAAACTGTATGAACAGTCACGAATATCCGACGAAATATTGATAAGGTCTTCGTCACAGTCATGTTTATCCCAACCTGAAATCTCTTCAACATCCCGCTAGGAACCACATTGATTCCACTCGTGGATATGTTGCAGAAATAGAGGGAAATAAGGCGTAACATTCCTCTGAGTTATGTGAATTGAGAGACGATTAACACCAGGCATTTATCAACCATATCACCATAGATGTAGAGACGGACGGAGACGAATACGGAGACGATTTGATTCTTATGTAAATATTTGAAAGACAACGACCTAAGCATTGGAATGTGGAGATCCAGTGTAAAAGAACTTCTCATCAGATGCATGGCTTCACTTGATGTCGAGTCACTCCTCAAAAATGTCTCGATCGCTGAGTCGATTCGATTTTAATGCAAATATCTGGAAGACAACGACTTGAATATTGGAATTCGGAGTCCCAGTGTGAAAGAACTTCTTCTAATTAGATGGACTCAACACGCCTAATTCACATTCATTGGTGTTATCTACAGAGAGCGTTATTTTGTATCTGTGAGACCACCATTAGTTTCGATACTTGCAGATATTTTCATGGCAATATTATTTTTCATTTTATTCATAACAAATGCGACGCAAAATAATATTCTACAAGATTTTAATAGTTACCACAGTTTCCGCAGTAGAAACTGGACAAACAATCTCCCTTCTTCACAATCGAATAACAGAATGTCGTGATAAGGGATATTTAACCAATCAGAGTACGAATAATGCCGTGGACGTGGAACGTCCTACTGACACACTTGAAGTTGGTTACCCGTAAATCACAAGCTAAATATTGTGATATTCCTCGGTATGAGTCAGTGGATGAAGAGGTCAATATTTTGAGGAAGACAAATATAAAATGGAAATTGTTACACGACACCACGCTTCATAGACAAACACAAAACCGAACACCAAAAGCGAAGAAGCACAACTTTATGCTGAAGGAGATGCTGTGCATGAATGTGGGGTTCAGAGACGACCTCCTTCCAGCCCACACGCTGAAGGGGGGAGAATATCAAGTAGCTTTATCAGAACATTATTTGCTTCTACATTTGGACAGACAGATGTTATTTTACCGCCAATGTTCTTTCGCACTCCACCAATCCGATTTCTCACTAACAGACCACTTGTTACTGTGGAGTGAGAAATGTAGATTGTCTGAATCGTCGTTTTTCCAGAAGAGTGAAGGCAGTTTATCGCAATCGGAGATAGACAGGCGGAAATCGACTGATAAGGAGTGCTATGACTGACCACATATTCAACATTGGTCACTCACTACGTCAGAAAATTTCATTTCACAGTTATCTACAAATTGAAAATAAGCCTCCCGAAAATTGTATGATCCCACATAGTAGTTGACTTTCGCGAGGCCGTAACCAGTCGAATGGAGACACTAACCCTTTACTATACCGCAAAGTGAATGAATGAATTCGCTGGAAGAGAAATCAGATATTGAACGAAATATCTTTACCTGATATATGTGTGATACAGCACACAGTGAGATAGTATCGTTTACCGGATAACATTTCAAAATAACTCGTCCTTGTCAATCATGTAAAATCTAACTAAAGTAGATCAAAACAGGATTTTACTAGTTCGAATCCATATTGTCATTCTTCGAATGGGTGATGAAAGTTTCCAGATGCTCGAGAACTATTCAAATCCTATTTGTAGATTCAGTTGACATGAATGTGAACACCAAGTTGTGTTCGAAATATTTTCCGATAAATAATACTATTTCACTCTATGATATATACAGTAAGCAGGTGAACATTAATAAGTATTTATATAATGCGGATTGTCACGATATCAAAATGCAGAAGTGCTACCTACCTTAGTGATATAAGATGAACGATGCCACATCTGATCTGTCAATGTGAAGTGAAACGCTTGAGCGGTTTGTGCAGAATTGAGACTCGCTACTACAGGAACAACGTACAAATATACACAACAAGTGAACATCAGTCAAGGTTGACTACAACGTAACAGATGGAACAAACCTCAGATTGTTACAGTGAATCTGCTGAAAAATTGTCACAAATAATTCGGACGACAAGGTCAGCATGACCTCATGGGAAGGTGACAGTCAGTGAAAATCGAAGTATTCAAAATCAGAGAGATCGTTCCTGATTCTTGTGAGAGTTAAGAGTTGTACGTGGAATCATTTCGCTCTCCCTACCGCCCATGTTAACTACAGAAGCAAGTACATAACAACAAATCGCCTGAAATACGACTTCTGAACCGACGTCGAATCCATAAGTAGTGCAGCATATTTTAAGCATTTCGACTTTATCTTGTTAAAATATAATCCCATTAGTGTGATGATGAAGTCATTTAATGCTACAACGTATTAATATGGAATATGAGTTTATTGAATTTTTGTGGTATTCATTCTAGTCTGAAAGTGATTTGTTTCCCTATATTGTTGTAGGTGGCGTTCACTTGTCTCGGTGGCCGCAGATTGATGATGTGGTGGTTCGGACCTAATGGCGTAGAATGTATTCTAGCTTTCGTCATCTGGTTTCTGATGATTGGCCTATTCTCACTAATATATACCACCTTAAGATCTTGCACAACATTGAACATCATGTGAACTGTCATGTTCACAATGATTTTAAGCTCGTGTTTCTATCTGAATATTATATAATAATAATAACAGCTTTATTCCAAACAGTATTTGTGGTACAGGTATGGAATTTTCAGCGTGCATTACAATAGTGCATCTAACAAACTGAGAAAGCAAGGACTGCTTTATACCAGACTGCCTTAACTTCCTAACGTAGAACGTTAAGCGAAACATCTTTCTAGTGACTAGCAAGATGTGAGAGGACCAGGAAAGATCGGAGGAAATACTCAGTCCAAGGTACTTGACATTAGATGTAGTTTCAACCTCTATGCCGTCAATGATAGTGGGACCATGTGAGCTAGCTAGTTGTTGTAGGTCACGTTTTCGTCTGAAAGTGAAATTTACTACCTGAAATTTAGACGGATTCAGCTTAAGACCGTTTGAAGAGGACCACTGACTAATTTCCGAGAGAAAGTTATTTAATTTGGAACAGTCTGACTGAGAGTTGACAAGCATGGAGACAGAGAGGTCATCAGCATACGTGACAAAAGTGGCTACATCAGAATGGAGCAAGTCATGTAAGAAAAAAGAAAACAGAAAAGGGGAAAGAACAGCACCTTGAGGAACA